GAGGGGGCTGCATGCAGTCACTGTACACTGCAGGGAGGGAGGGGGCTGCATGCTGTCACTGTACACTGCAGGGAGGGTGCTGCATGCAGTCACTGTACACTGCAGGGAGGGATGGGCTGCATGCAGTCACTGTACACTGCAGGGAGGGAGGGGGCTGCATGCTGTCACTGTACACTTCAGGGAGGGAGGGGGATGCATGCTGTCACTGTACACTGCAGGGAGGGAGGGGGCTGCATGCCTCACACTGCAGGGGAGGAGGGGCTGCATGCTGTCACTGTACACACTGCAGGGGAGGGAGGGCTGCATGCTGTCACTGTACACTGCAGGGGGGAGGGAGGCTGCATGCTGTCACTGTACACTTTCCACGGGGAGGGGCTGCATGCTGTCCCAGGGAGGGCTGCATGCGTCACTGTACACTGTGTATGCTGTTACTGTACACTGCAGGGGAGGGGCTGCATGCTGTCACTGTAGCCAATACACTGCAGGGGGGAGGGCTACATGCTGTCACACTGTACACTGCAGGGGAGGGGCTGCAGCACTGTCACTAATAACACTACTGGGAGGGAGGGCACTGCATGTAATCACTGTACACTGGGAGGGAGGGGCTACATGCTGTGCTATACACTGCAGGGAGGGAGGGAGCTGCATGCTGTCACTGTACACACTGCAGAGGGAGGGGGCTGCATGCTGTCACTGTACACTGCAGGAGGGAGGGGGCTGCATGCTGTCACTGTACACTGCAGGGGGAGGGGCTGCATGCTGTCACTGTACACTGCAGGGGGGAGGGGCTGCATGCTGTCACTGTACACTGCAGGGGGGCTGCATGCTGTCACTGTACACTGCATGCTGTTACTGTACACTGCAGGGGGAGGGGGCTGCATGCTGTCACTGTACACTGCAGGGGGAGGGGCTGCATGCTGTCACTGTACACTGCATGCTGTCACTGTACACTGCAGGGGGAGGGGCTGCATGCTGTCACTGTACACTGAGGGGGGAGGGGGCTGCATGCTGTCACTGTACACTACAGGGAGGGAGGGAAGGGGCTGCATGCTGTCACTGTACACTGCAGGGAGGGAGGGGGCTGCATGCTGTCACTGTACACTGCAGGGAGGGACGGGGTTGCATGCGGTCACTGTACATTGCAGGGAGGGAGGGGGCTGCATGCTGTCACTGTACACTGCAGGGAAGGAGGGGGCTGCATGCTGTCACTGTACACTGCAGGGAGGGAGGGGGCTGAATGCTGTCAATGTACACTGCAGGGAGGGAGGGGCTGCATGCAGTCAGTGCACACTGCAGGGAGGGAGGGGGCTGCATGCTGTCACTGTACACTGCAGGGAGGGACGGGGCTGAATGCTGTCACTGTACTCTGCGAGGAGGGAGGGGGCTGCATGCTGTCACTGTACACTGCAGGGAGGTAGCTGCATGCTGTCGCTGTACACTGCAGGTAGGGAGCTGCATGCTGTCAGTGTACACTGCAGGGAAGGAGGGGGCTGCATGCTGTCACTGTACACTGCAGGGAAGGAGGGGGCTGCATGCTGTCACTCTACACTGCAGGGAGGGAGGGGGTTGCATGCTGTCACTGTACACTGCAGGGAGGTAGGGGCTGCATGCTGTCAGTGTACACTGCAGGGAGGGAGGGGGCTGCATGCTGTCAGTGTACACTGCAGGGAGGGAGGGGGCTGAATGCTGTTAGTGTACACTGCAGGGAGGGAGGGAGAAGCTTCATGCTTGTCACTGTACACTGCAGGGAGGAGGGCTGAATGCTGTCAGTGTACACACACACTGCAGGAGGGGAGGGGCTGCATGCAGTCACTGTACACACTACAGGGAGGAAGAGGCTTTGCATGCTGTCACTGTACACTACAGGGAGGAGTGCTACACATGCAGTCCACTGTACACTGCAGGGGAGGATGGGCTGCATGCAGTCACTGTACACTGCACAGGGAGGGGGAGGGCTGCATGCTGTCACTGCTTTACTTTCAGGGAGGGAGGGATGCATGCTGTCACTGTACACTGCAGGGAGGGAGGGGGCTGCATACTCACACTGCAGGGAGGGAGGGGCTGCATGCTGTCACTGTACACTGCAGGGAGGGAGGGGGCTGCATGCTGTCACTGTACACTGCAGGGAGGGAGGGGGCTGCATACTCACACTGCAGGGAGGGAGGGGCTGCATGCTGTCACTGTACACTGCAGGGAGGGAGGGGGCTGCATGCTGTCACTGTACACTGCAGGGAGGGAGGGGCTGTCTTTTTTTTTTGCCAATCGTTTTTTGCAGCTGAGCTAAGTTGGATTTTGTAGGGTAGGGCCTGGAAGAAGAAAATGATTCTCAAGAGGATATTCATTTTGATGGAGTGGATTCTTCCCATCCAAGAGATGGGCCGGTCCATCCAGTTCTCCACGTCTCTAATAAGGGATTTGGTCAAGGGGAGTAATTACTGTTGTACATTTTAGAGGGGTCAGCTGTCAGTCGTATGCCTAGGTATGTTATTGAGTGTGTCGTCATCTGTATACCGTGGTCCCTGTGTATGTGCACCGCATCCACCATCGACAAACCTTTGGGAGGATGCTAGATTTGGTCATGTTGATTTAATAGCATGATATTGAGCCAAATTGCATAAGAATCTCCCGTACCACCTCCATGGAGGTGACTGGCGAGGTCACGGTCAACAGGACGTCATCTGCACATGCCGAGACTAGGAAGTTGTGTCCCCTTACCTTTACTCCCTGTATCCCTGGGTGTCCACAGAAGGCTTTCAGTAGGGTAAGATGAACAGGAGGAGGGATATAGGGCATCCCTGCCTCGTGCCGGTGATGAGTTGGAAGGGTCTGGGGGCTGCTCCAGAGATTCGTACTTTGATGTTATGGTACATGGCTTTTATCGAGGTGACAAAGGAATCCGGGAAGCCTAAAAAGGAGAACAAGGAGTATAGAAAGGGCAACTTGACCTTATCAAATGCTTTTTCAGCATTAAGTGAGACTACCAGGGTGGGGATGTTAGTATTGTGCTGGCGCCATAATATGTCATAATAAGTGTTTTCAATTCATTGTCTACCTGGTATCAAACCGACTTGGTCTGCGTCTATTACTTTGTCCAGCATTGGGTTTAGCCTATCTGCAAGGATTTTAGCGAATATTTTTCTGTCATGGTTGATGAGCGATATAGGTCTATAAATTTTGAGTGAGTTCAGGACACCCGTCGCCTCTAAAGGAAGCTTGGGCCATCCCAAGTTCTCTAAAAAGGATTTGGTCAAGTCTGCTTCAGTCCTCTGATGGTTGGAGCCCATAGGGGAGTGGTTGTATAGGGACTTGTAGAAGTCTGTGAATAGCAAACCCATGTCCATAGGAGAATCGTAAGCCATATGTCAGAGGGTGCCAGAAGTCAGGATAAACGATAAGAATAAGCCAAGGTCAGGAGCCGACTGGATCGCGCACACAAACACAGGAACCAGAGTCAATGAACTGACACTGCCCTTGGGGAGAGGCAGTGTCTTATACCTGGCTAATTGGGCATTAGCTTCATGTGGGCTGAGATTGATCGGAGCAGCCCCAGCTAAAATCCAGCCATACAGAAATAAGAACTGATGTGTTACCCAGAGACAAGATAGAAGGACCACAATTCAAATCCCCTGTTTGGCACTTGTGAAACGGCCACGCCTGGCCATCCGGATGGCACGGTGCAAATCGTTACAGTTGCGAGCTGAGTTGTCAAGGAGCAACCCCTTAAATGCATGTCTCACAGTCGCTAATTGTGTGTATGTTGTCTTGTCGGGGGCAGTTTCAACAGCCTTTGGGTCTTTTGCTTCTTCTACATAACGCTTGAGGTAGGACTGTTTTAGTGTTTTTGGTCAATAAGATTCTTAGGCCCCTCTTAATTGTCAGCACCAGGCCCACCGGGCTCTTAATCTGGCCCTGGTCTCCGGTCTAAACATTACAATTTTGATTAGCATATCTTATATATTCAAGAAATGTGCACTTATAACAGATTACTGTAGCTATATGGGCGAGGAGGAAGGGTGAAGAGGAATAGAGAAGGAAAGAAAGAGAGAGAGAGAGAGAGAAGAAAGAGTGAGTAGAAGCGGAGCCTAAACCAAATCTCTGCACCCAGATTTCCCATGTGTCTGTGAACCTTTAGGTTTCTGTGTTAGATGTTTGGGACATGCTTTCATAACTGTAGTATTGTTATATTTGTCACAAAGCTGGGAGATGGAATGACACTTGGTGGATTTCCATTGTGAGGCAATAAGATTGCAGGCTGCTAGAAGGACCAGTGCAGTCAATTGTCTATGTTGTCTGTCTAGCGTTGGAGGGAAAAGTAGGAGCAGGCAGTAAGATATTGTCATGGGGAAGTTTTGAATTTTCAATGTGTGTAGGATGTTCCTAGTAGTGGTTGTATACATTTAATGGTCCACCAATGCGCGAGTCCTCTTTCAAGTGCCAGTAGTGTATTTGAGGATCTTAAGGTAGTCCAGTTTAATTCTATATTGGAACAGAGAATGCACACCAAAAACCATACGAAATTAATATCTTAGTTTAATAAGACAGTATCTGATTTCCAAGTATGATATAAATATAATACAAATAAAGTGATAGTGAACAGGCTAGACAAAAAATCCACAGTAAATATTTACCAAAATTCCACAACCTGATAGGGCAGAAACACGTATAAAAAGAACCCCCCAACGTTTTGGCACCTCCTGGATGCCTTTATCAAGGGTGTTTATGTACCGATTGTTTTGGTATTTGAGGGAGTACCATTTGTGAATAGCACCCAAGTGTTTATTGTTTACACTATTATATAGTCTCTCCATTCTTTATATACTAAATAATTCTATATTGGAAACATTTTGCTTCCATTCGGATATACAGTACAAAGACTGCCTTCCTTATTGACAACATGTTTGCTTGTAGAGCTTTAGAACCCCCATTTACTCCATTTGTGAGAATCAGCCGTTCTTAGAACGATTCTGGAATTTCTACCAAAAATCATCTAAACCAAGAAATTGTCCTACTGTCCCTTTTTCCAGAGCCATCCTCAGAAGGAGTCATTGTGGTATAAGTTCAATGTGGTTAAAGCATAACAAATGTATCCTTTAAAGTTTCACCTAATCATAAGGCTTTTTCAAAGTGTTCACTTTCAACACTTTGAAAAAGCCTTATTCTTAGGTGAAACAGGTTAGTGTTTTATACTGTGTTTGGTTTTATATTTGTTTTCCAATAAAACTACCGGTAGTTATTTTATGGATTTTGGACCTTCCTACTTTTATCTTTGAAAATTTTAATCTGAGGATTCCCACAGTTATTTCCTTGTTAGGAATATACCACCAATGCCTATTGAGCAAAACCTGACATTGCTCTCCTCTTGTGAGTTTACCTCCTTCTTACCTTTTTACCTATTTTAATAATACAAAGCTCACTAGAATCTGTTTTTATTTGCATTTTTATATACCAATGACTTTTGACTGCTATGCTGTGGTACACTGAAAAAGGATATCCCCACTACATACCATCTTTCTGTGAATATAAGACATCCCCCGAAACTAAGCCCTAGTTCCCTAATCTATGTTAGGGGAATTTTCATTAGGAACACAAACCTGTAATCCTGACCCTATAGTGTTAAATCCACCATCTAGCCCCCCTGTAGCCCCTCATGCTACCATAAATATAGTAAAAAAAATCTTACTGTATTCCAGCCTGAAGCTGCTGGCTCTGCCCTGTCTGCCTCAGAAAAACAAACAGTCTGCTGACATCATCAGAAGTGGTAGCCTGATCCAATCACAATGCTTCCCCGTAGGATTGGCTGAAACTGACAAGGAGGCAGATCAGGGGCAGAGCCAGCATGATTCAAACACAGCCCTGGCCAATCAGCATCTCCTCATAGAGATTAATTGAATCAATGAATCTCTATGAGGAAAGTTCAGTGTCTGCATGCAGAGGGAGGAGACACTGAATGTTTGGATGCATTTTAGGCAGCCATGACACAGGAAGGATCTCTAACAGCCATCTGAGGAGTGGCCAGTGAAGTTATCTCTAGGCTGTAATGTAAACGCTGCATTTTCTCTGAAAAGACAGTGTTTACAGCAAAAAGCCTGAAGGTAATGATTCTACACACCAGAACAAATTCAATAAGCTGTAGTTGTTCTGGTGACTATAGTGTCCCTTTAAGTCTAGGATAGCCTTATGTCTATCCCACGCATGCTTAAACTCCCTCACTGTGTTAACCTCTACCAATTCAGCTGGAAGGCTATTCCATGCGTCCACTACCCTCCCTGTAAAGTAATACTTCCTAAAACTATTTTTAAAACTTTGCCCCTCTAAAGAATTCCCCGAACATAGACCTGCTTTCTGGCACATGCTTGCTAGAGTAATGCATCCTCACTTACCGACAGTGTTGTAAAAACAGTCTGTAACATTTTGACACCCAGAAAAATGAGTGCGAAAAAAAAGAGATATTCCATTGCGTAAAAGAAAGGAATTGTGGAGGTTTCCCAGCGCAAAAATCTTACGACTTTCTGCCAAGAGATGAAGTTGGATGTCCGAATGGCCTGAAAATAGTGAGCGGAGTATGATAATCTCAAACAACAGGTGGACGAGGGAAATGCCAAGAAGCGCAAGTGTGGACCATTATTTCTTGAGTTGGAAGGCATCATCTGTGAATGGATTGCTGACAGGTGAGCAAAGGCTTTGGTTGTGCACAGGGCTGATATTCAACCATTTGCCCTTGCAACTGCACCACAGTTAGAATTACCCCCAGAAGATTTCAAAGCATCATAACACTGGTTGGATGACTTCCTTAAGCGACATGAACGGTCGCTAAGAGAATTGACAACACTGTTCAAGCTGCAAGATACTGAAATTATTAAACATGCACTTGCATACAAGTCCTTTGTTGAATTGTTTTCCAAGTACCAGCTCTCCAACATGATTGCTATGGATGAAACTGCAGTGTTTTGGGGCCAAGGATCTAATGGCAATTGATCAGAGGGGTTCCTCGTCAATCTACATTCCCTCCACTGGTTATGAAAGCGCACGTTACCTGTATTTTGGCAATTCATGTGGATGTAAAGAAAGCTCCACCTCTAATCATTACTAAGGGCAAGAAAGATAAGAGTAAATGTGTTTCAGGCATTTATGTTCTTAAAACTGAAAAAGCCTGGTGCACACAAGCAGATCTAAGGAAGTGGGTCGATGTAATGCTGCCATTTGTTTTGCGAGGTGGTCAAAGAGGTCTGCTAGTCTGGGATTCAGCCAGCACTCACCACACTGCATGAAGAACTTCATTGCAGAGAAAAGAATAGATCAAGTAATGATTCCTGCAGGCTCTTGACTCTTTCCATACTCTTGATATTCCAATAAACCATAAGAGATTCAAGAGCCATTTGCACACAGAAATCAATGAATACATTAAAAAATAATGGAGAGAAATCAGCGTGGAAAACCTGCGAAGCCTAGCCTGCAAGAGGTTGTGACTTAGGTGAAGAATTCATAGGCTAAAATCACTGATTCCTCTGTTGCCAATCCACTACAAACAGGATACATGGACAATAAGTACTCATTGAAGGAGAGCTATTTTGCTGGACATGAGAGATTTGGGTCAAGGCTTCTACAGGAAATGGAGTCGCAAGAAACTCAGGCTGGAATACAGGGTTGGGAGAGATTTGACGATGTTCCAGAAGATGGCAGGATTGTCTTTGAAAAAATGTTTTGTTGTATTTTTATTGTTGCACCGTACATAAAAAATAAGACATCCTCTGAAAATAAACCCCAGTGTGTTTTTGGATCAAAAATGTATATATAGTACCATGTCTTATTTTCGGGGAAACATGGTACTACGGAGACCACCAATATATCCAGAGACTGGGATTGTACCGTCCAGGCGCATATTTCTGGAGCCAAGCACAGGCACCAGAAAATTATAAGTCCATTTAGTCGTATTTATATTTATCAGTTTCTAAAATACTACACTAAAATCCGCTCACTCCTCTTATTCCCTATATGTAATGTACAACCCAACACGCAGAAAGAAAACCCACCAGGAGAGAATAGGGACAAAAAGAAGATCCCAAAACCGGTCCTTAGAATGGCCAGAATGTAGAATAAACTTCAAGGAACGTCAAGACAAGGTCAAGGGAGCCAGAAAACAGACTAATCGAGAGTAAGCCGGGTCAAAAACAAATATATACCACAAAGGACACAAGAACGCGCTATAGGGACACTAGGAACCACAACAGGGCACTGTGCTTTGGGCAGACTGGTCATTTATATGGTTGAGGGCGTATTTAGCATAACTACACCCCCAAAAGGTACGTATGTGCCAAGCACTGTTGCTTAGAGTTCTTTCGACGTCATGACACCGACACGACACATGTCACGTCATAAAAAGGGGCAGGCGCACAGCGGCCGGCGTCCATGAGGCTATTTGGATCCTCACGCTGCGTGCGTCTGTTGGTCCGCCGGATCTCGGCATCGGCAGACCGCTAAGGTCAGTGCAGGAGTGCTCACACTATATTAATTTATCCCCACTCGGATTTGAGAACATCCCTAAGGGCGCTGCTTCCCTACATTTTCTTTTCTATCTACATCTCCAAAAGGAAGAGACTCTGGTTTGGGAAGTTTAAGCTGCCACACATATAAGGAGTAAGCACCATAAATCCTATCCTTTTATTTATAATATAATATAATATTAATTTGACTATTCCTGTCCTAGCAGCCGAGAGGGAGGAGATGAACCCATTAGTGATGCTTACATGGATACAAGAAAAGAAAATTACAGTAAGTATTTTCAAAATTTTACATTGAATACCGCATGTATTTCTGTGCTTTATAGTGTATTCAGTGTATTTGTGAGCAATTTAGCTGAACATTAAAACAGTTCAATTAAAAAAAGAAATGAAAACACTAATTGAACTTTAATACCTTCAGCTATCAACGTCCAAAGCCATCACTAAATGAGCAACAGCCTTAGTTAGAATTAACTGAACCCTCTCCGTGCTAGAGCGGAGAAATAAAACCACCCTCCATTGCAGTCTAGCAGTTCTCACCATTTGGCTGGGAATGTGGTATGTGCAGCCACAACCACCCAGTTAAGGTTGCCATACTCTGCGTGGATGAAGTCTTCAGCTGAAAATATTATTTAATCTATAAATGTCATGTATATTTTGCCAGCACAATGTATAGATTACATATATAAATCCTTATCTGAATGTGAACACGCAGCCACATAATTATTGGATAACCATATCACATCAATACTCAGGGTGCCAATAGGATGCCCTGCTTTGCATTAAATCTAAACTGCAAGACAAGCTTGTTTTAAAGTGAACACATCACACCATGTTCATCATTTCAGTTTAGTGTTCAATGTGTTTTATCAATTAAAGTACTTTTGAAACCAACGTGGGACAGACATGCAGTGATATCCTTACTAGGAATGTCTGCCAGATCACCTTTTAATGCTGGCTGTTTGTATTATAGCAGCGCTTTCAGTGGCTGAGCGCTGTACGTACCGATAAGGAAGTCTTTCTCTGGAATGAGGGGCATGGGTAAGGAAGCAAGCCTGTGGCGAGGTCTTACAATTTCTAAAAAACCAAAAAAAAAAAACCCATCAAATAAACCAATCAAATGGAATAACGGAGATATATATTATGAAAGCGAATGTATGTGTGTAATATATCACAATTGTTATCCATTACGAAGAAAAAACAACAACTATTGCCCCATACAAAAATTAGTATATTGAACTAACAGTGCTGTTCATTTCTCTTTGGAAGGAGAGACGTGTTGATTCATGGGTAATTTATTTAACATGGACATGAATTCCGATACTGCATATTTCTTTCTTCGAGCATATTCTTGGATGAAACCTCTCGTTACCAAGTTCTATCTTGCAAAAGGTGCTTTGTTTTAAGACACGATTTTATTCATTATGGAGCATGTTTTGTATAAAGCTACACCATAGACAAAAATATAAATAAAAAATACACGTGAAAATCAAGATGCAAAAAGAAAGCCTTTATATTACGATCTGTAAAGATTCATACACATGAACTTAAAAAAAAAAAAAAAGTGTAAATTTATTGGATTCGACAATTCTTGGTCAACATCTAAGTAAAGAAAACACATTAGAATTTTGAATACAAAAGGAAACAATAGGTGAACAGTAGATGAAAAGGTAAAAGAACGGTCTAAATTAAAATATTTGAATTGTAACAAAAGTAAATGTATATAGGAGATTGGTCCTTAAGAGGTTAATCCCAATCTTCTGGAATAAAGGGGAATCATGACATGTCACACATGTCATGTGTCCTTAAGGGGTTAAAGGACAGGTCCCTCCAGTGATAGCAACATGCTCAGCATGCCTTTGGAACCTTAGGCCACAACTGAAGTGTAGAGTTTTTGCCATTGCTCACAATGCTATGAGGAATATTGAGATGTTGCCTAAATGCACTAAAGTACATTTCTGGGTGCTTTTTCAGACTCACAGGCTGGATTTGAAGCGATCAAAAAGCACATGTGTTTGACTTTAGCTGACAATTAAAAAAAGATTAAAAAAAAATAATAATAATAAATAGAGTTCTCAAAAGGTTTTACTTCAAAATGTGTTTAATCTTGCATATTGTACAGGTATTTAATTTAAAGAAATCTGAAATGAATCTAGTGGGCTAGTACAGTACCTGACACTATATACAGGTAGATTCTTTTGTACAGACAGAATGGAGAAGACAGACAGAATTTCTAAAACAAATGTTAACACACAATTAAATATTGTCCTTACAAAGGAAGAGAACAAAAGAAATAAAAAATATAAAATCTTTTGCAAGTGTTGTCAAGAGTGCCAACTGTTTGGCATGAAAGCAAAATCAGAACAACATTTTTCATTTAACACATCTCCGCAACATGTTAGAGACATTCTAGGTACCAAAACCACGTAATGTCATTGAAGTAGTTATGGTGCCTGGAGTTCCAGTTCCCTGGTCCAGTATGTTTAAAGGACCTCTATAGGCACCCAGACCACTTCAGCTTAATGAAGTGGTCTGGGTGCCAGGTCCAGCTAGGTTTAACCTTTTTTTTTTTATAAACATAGCAGTTTCAGAGAAACTGCTATGTTTATAATAGGGTTAATCCAGCCTCTAGTGGCTGTCTCATTGACAGCCGCTAGAGGGCTTCCGTGCTTCTCACTGTGATTTTCACAGTGAGAAGATGCCAGCGTCCATAGGAAAGCATTGTGAATGCTTTCCTATGGACTGGCTGAATGAGCGCACAGCTCTTGCTCTCGTGGGAGCACCCTCAGGGCACTATAGCGCCAGGAAAACGAGTATGTTTTCCTGGCACTATAGTGGTCCTTTAAGAGCAGCCTGACATTGAATGAGGGTACCCAGATGCACACTGCTTGGCCTATCACTGCCTCCCACTGTCAAACCATTTGAGAAAAGTGTTTCATGGAACAGAGCAATGGTGTCAGGGGACTCTAGACACCATAACTACGTCAATGAGATTAACTGGGTTATTTACTAAAGTCAGACTTTAAAGTGAATTTAAGGCCAAAATAGATTAATTGAAAAACTTATCTAAGTCAGCTATGCTTCAAGCTCTGTTACGTTGACCAATATATGAATTTTCACTTTAGTAAATAATCCTGTAGTAAGGGTTTATGGTGCTTAGAGTGTCCCCTTATCCAGATTTGTGTCTATCAAGGGTAAAGGGGTAACAGGATATAAACATGAATGGCTCTGTAAAAATAAAAAAATTGGGAGAACCATGGAAACCATGTTGTGAAGAAATAGCAAAATCCCTGGAGAGGTTTGGTAACATTTGTAAAAAAAACATAGGAAAAAAATTGTGCTGGCTGCACATCTTATATACTTTACATGGTACACCCGCTATTGTATAAAATGATAGATATATCCTGTCTACATATTGTGCTACAACAGTGGTTCTCAACTCATGGTCAGTACTAGGATAGTCAGAGTCGAAGGCAACGTCAACAAAAATATATAAATACAGTATAAAATGTTTTGTGTAGGAGCACTACCTTCCCTTATGCATTGGAGATGTAAACACTGGGAAAATTGTAATGAGGATGAATCCTTTTGTTACAAACAAGTAAAACCCTTTCTATGATAGAATAATGCACTATGGCATTATTCTATTGGTCTCTACCCTCCCCCCCAACTACAAAAATGCTAAAAGAGTGTTTTTAAACTAAGTTTACTTCTGAAGTCCAGGAGAGAAGCCTTTGACAAGAGCATTTTACCAATGCTGAGCACATACGCACACACTAAGCCAGCAAAGGGAGGGAAGGAAAGGAGGATGAGTGGGGGCAAGTTGTGTCTGTCACCAGCATACAGTGTGCTTTGATAGAAAAAAAAAATGTGTGCACAGAATTAACATTAAGCAGTTTAGAACAGAGTTCTGGGCTGCCTAAATTATGTGTGCCTGGGGTGCAACTTGACTCTAGCACACAAGTGCAAATTAATCTGGATGAAACACTGCACATCCAGACTCCTACCACCATGACCACTTTAAAAAGCCAAAGTGGTCATGGTGGTTGATGTAACCTTTTAAGGTAACTGTACAGAAGAATGATGTAACATAGCAAGACTCACTGTGCTAGTAGAATTGAAAACAAATATATTATATGAAAAAGAAATATGATCCCACCCCTCACAGTCTCATTCTTTGTATAACTCTCTAAGTCTCAAAGCTTTGGGATTTTCCAGCTCTCTGCAAAAGCAACTACAATAGTATGCACTGTAGCTGCTGTGATTATTCCCTTAGTGAGTCAGTTTTCCTGCTCTGCTAGAGGAATAGAACAATAGAGTGATATCAGATGCCGACACAGTGATAACGAAGCCAGTCGGTCAGATTTATGGGAGAGGGGCACTTTATGAAAATCTGATGTAGCAATGTAAAATCAAAGTCTCTGCTTTTCAGAGGGGGGCTAACATTTGGAATGTCATTATTACAGCAATGTACATTTCCAATTTTAATGATTAAACCCCAAAGAAATGCAATGGAATTCGGTTTCTCACATCATTAGTTAGCTACATCAGCATGGAGGCTCACAACATCACGCCTAAATTCCAATACATTGGGAATAGACATGTAACATCAATGTAATATATAGCAAATACAGGTTTCACTTAAATTGTAACTTGATTATTTTTTTAGAAGGTTTTACAGGGATTTGTTCAAGACACAGCATGTGGAGGTACAGAGTAGCCAAATTTAAGGCACAATGAAAACCTATAAAAGGTGATGATCATCTGTAGCTATATAAAAAAAAAATAAAAAAAACAAAAAAAAAACAACAACATTCTTCCAAGTATGGTATAGACCAGGGGTGCCCAAAAGATATATCCCCCAGATATTTTAAAACTACAGATTTCTTAGATTTTAACTTTCCTTGACAGTTTACCTTAATCTATAGTTTAGTGAGTAATCCCCAATTTGTCCATCAAGAAATGATGCAGATTAAGCCACGATATCTTGTTGTTTACAACACAACACATAAAGGGTTAGAGAGCTAAACAAAGCATCGTGTACAGACAAAAACATATCAAGTAAAGAACGTTTATGATATCAAACCACTGAAAAATTTAATTTCCATTAAATCTAAAATTATAATAAAATACTAAGGAACAATGGTTTAAGTTGGGAACCAAAATAGTTCTTCCAGGTTATGTCAATTGTGACATAAAATTAGTCAACACCCAAGCTTCTTGTGATAAATGGTTTATTGTGGTGGCCCTAAACTACATAACTGTTTCATTTTATACTGGGAACAGTTTAATGAAGGTGCGTTACAAAATTTATTTTAGAATTAAAAATGGGCCCACTTTAACATGGTCATCAGACTCGTTCTTTGCTTAGTGCAGTTTGGTGATCCTCTAAAAAATTAGTTCCTAATGTGGCTTATTGTCATGGTTCAAGGAAAATAAAAAGTCGACAGTGATGAAGTCTTTCAAACAAGTTCATAAAAGAATGTATTGGTAGTCTAATTAACAGTGGTGCTCTCAATGTAGAAGTTGTGGCACATTTACACAGTATCTATTTGCAGATAAGAATTGTAACAAGATCATAAATTAAAAGGAACAAATGAAAAATATGTCAATGGCTTTGGAAATATAAACTCAATTCATTTAGCAAATTTGCCCTTTTACATTGCTGTAAACAACACCTTACAATATTTCAAATAGCTTACAGTTAAATAGAGTAATGGGAAAAACTATCACTGGGATAAGATAACATTTCAGGATGTTTTCTCACACCGAGCTCTAAAGAAGGATTCTCACAAGGACTAACTTCACTGCATGGTAGTACACACAATAGAAAATGTGAGCAAGATATATAGATGGCAAAACTATTATTCAAAATCTGCCATTATTCAACCAGCACAATTTAATTTCAAAGCAAAATGATAGCACTTAATATACCTTGACAACTTACAAGGCAAATATCCAGACCAACCAATAATTAAATAAATCATAGCATAGATTTAACATTCACATCACAAACGGACAGGTCAAATTGCCTCAACTATGATCAAAGAGGTAAAAGCTTTAAATCAGGCTTCCCCAAACTCCGGCCTTCCAGATATTGCTGAACTACAACTCCCATGATTCTATGAATGAAATAGATAGCATGAGAATGATGGGAGTTGTAGTTCAGCAACATCTGGAGGGCCGGAGTTTGGGGAAGTCTGCTTTAAATCAAGGGTGCCAATATGTAGTTTCCCCAAATGCTGTTGGATCAGAACTCCCAAGATTCACAGAATTATGGGAAATGCAGTCCAAAGACAGCAGAACAGGGATGATCCAGTTTGACACCATCTAAGGAGACAAACAGGGCTTTTCCTTTTGTCTGCAACAACCAAGGAACTGTTGTGATCAAAACAACCTATCTGAAAATATTAATAGCACCAAACGCTTTGCTGCATGCACTGCAGGCAAATAGCAAAAATGTCATAATGATAAGAGTGCAAAAGATGCAGAATTCTTAATGTTCAAATAAAACATGCTCTCCTTTACATTTAAACTTTCCAACCACTACTTGAAGATGTATGTCTTATTCCGATAGGTCTCATTTTTTGTTGTGATCACCAATGACATCTCTAGTGCAAATCACTCAAACCTTCTTTGAAATTAAGAACAATTCTCTTGTTCATTTTAAAGAGTTACCCAGGTCTAAGTGCAACACACACATGAGAATGTTATGAGATGGTCCACATATCTTTAAATGTTAATTTGAAATGGTCTTGCACTCGAACCTTAGTATCACGCACAACCTACATCTGGCTGCATGATAAATTTGCCATGATTAATTTCAAGTTCTGCAAATTGCCAAAAATGGCTATTTGTAATCCCCAGACAGGTTTTTTTTTCTCTTTGATAATGATATAATTATGTGCCAATGGCAAATAATGCCAAAAGTAACAATTTTCGTAGAAAATGATCCAAAACAGAATTCAAGATATGTAGAAAAAAAAAATTAAACAAACATTCTAAAATCTGCATTTATTAATCATTTGTGTGCTCATTTGTTTGCAAATTAATTTTGCAAACAAGAAAGCAATGTAAAATGAACTCATGTGAAAAGAAAACGCACCAATATGAATATATAACGGTTACTTTCATGAAGATTTTTCGAATGTCGATCGGAGATGATTTTAATCTTAACATGCTTGTGCTTTTTTTATACCCTTTAACTCCTCCCAGTACCCCTAACTTTTGAGTTCAAAAAGTTATGACTGCTAGTAAACACCATTTTAAATAAAAACAAAAAACATACTTATGCTTTTCCATAAGTTTATATAAAAAGAGCGCTTTCAGAGAAATTCAAGTAATTTTCCAAGATGTATGGAATGATCCTATTTAGTTTCATTGCTTCAGGAAGTATGCAAGTTATGCCTTACATAAGGCTGCAACTAGCATTTCATTATTATCACGATCATTTTCTAGTAGCGGAACAGGATTGGAAATCTAGGGGTTCTCTGATGGGCTGGCCAGTCACAATACAGCTATGATTTCAAAATCTATCACTTTCTATTTACTCTATATGAGGCAATATTTTTGATTGCTACACATCTGAATCTTGTCTGCGTTTTCATTTTAAAAAGCCATGAATTAAGAAAAATGACCCGTAGATTTAAAAGCAATGTAGATGTTTTACTTCCATAACTCAGGGAAGGTACAGACACTGAGAATTAGCCTAAAAAATTAAAAGAAAACTTTGGGATTCTTAATAGTGCTAATCAGAAATTGATGCAGTCAGATGTATGGCCTAATGCTTCCTCTCGCATTTTTTTTTTTTTTTTAAACTAAAGTATATCAATAAAATAGTCACGTAGGGGTAGTAACTGAAGTTGTTTGTTTTTATTTTTTTAGAGAGCTATACAGACAAAGTTTTTATTTCCATTCTGCCTTACATTTTGGAGTTCATCATGGATTGACTTCATTTTATTCAACCCAATTTGTAGATTTAAAAAACCATGTAAAGACAGGGATGAAGATGTCAAGGTTTTACAGTACTAAAAAAGTATAGAGATTTATGGTAAAAAAAGAAAAAAGTAGGAACGTTTTCTTCCCCACAGAACTGAACAACTGTGTTATCACTTGGAAATAAACTGAAACAAACAAACATTCTTCATTATGGTACATAACTAACAAGGCATTTCACAAATTACAAAATGTGTAATATGGAGAAGCCCAATACCAACCAACAATTCAGTCTTTCAAATTTTTAACAAGCGTTTTCTTTTTCAGGTTTGCAATATACTATTCAAAAGTTGAGATTCCCATATTTGTTATTGCTACAGATAACGAATAATAATAAAAAAAAAACCATCATCATGAATTATATCATTAATCAAACCATTTAGTCCAAACTAGCGGCAGACAGGAGGTTCCCATCCAGTAACTTCAAAAACAAAATCCTTGCACAAGATCAACCTAGAAACAGAAAAGCATTCTATATTTTTTGTTTTTAGATTATGGACTGAGAGAGCAGGGTGGGTACCTATTCGTGCATGTTGACTAAGTCACAAACGTCAAAGAATCATTAGGCAGTTTCCATTAATACTCAGACTCAGCTAAAATCAGGTGTCAAATGCTTTCGAGATGCTCTAAGTGCCGATACAATTTCCAACAACATAATATCTTATTTTGAAGTTTAGCACCAGGGATCAGAGGTCTTTAATTGTGTGTCTGCTCATGGCTCCACAAACTGAAAGCAGTTTTAAAGGTCCTGTGACAAAGTTTACACATGAACTGTCGTTTAAATGTCAGGGCTGAAAGCGGTGGGGCATGATAGAAGAGGCTGTCAGACTCTTGAGGAGAAAACCTTTTTTCTGGAGTGTTCCTTTTCTCTGGAAATGTTGTACTGCTTTCTGGTTCTATAGGCTGGATTTTAGGCAGAGGTGGTGGTGGTGGGGGAACAGGTGGTGGTGATGGGGAGCTCACAGGAGCAGATGCTTCTGGTTCTTTGAAAGAAGATTCTTCACCTTGTGACATATGTGACTGAAAATGACTCCAAAGGCGAAAGTTTGTGCGGAAAGCTTTGTTGCACACATGACAAATGAAAGGTTTGACAGAGCATAGAAGCTCTTGGTGTCGTTCCAAATGCTTGTGGACAGTGAAAATTTTTCCACATTTCTCACATGACCACATGCCACCTTCAGAGTCGGACATGCCTTCTTTAGGTCTATAGCTGGAGTCGGGATCATTTTCCATATCATCTGAAGGTTCTTCCTTGATCTGAAATCTTTTTGAAATGCTCAGATCTTCAGGAAGACAATTAGAATCCTCAGAATCAAAGTTCATATGATCAGATGAGTCGCTGTAAATACCATCTTCCTTTGAAGCAAGGAAGTTATTCATTTTGCTAGATTCTGGTAAAGACTGTCTTCTTTGTGAACTATTTCTTTCTCCATTTCGATCGATCAGAGGTAAAGACAAGTTTTCTGTTGGAGCCATCGTGTTTTGATTATGAACCTCAACCTGATGACGCCAAATGCTGAAAGACGATTTAAATGTACGCATGCACTCAAGACATGTAAGCTTTTTATATTCACACCTGGTTTCATGTTCGGTTTTCAGCTCAGGGGTAGTGAATCGAAGACTGCAGTATGGACACAACGTTGCATTCCTACACATCCGTTCATGATTACCTTGTTCAACAAAAGATGACAATTTTGTATTGCAAAGTCGGCAGTGAAATACATCTTTGCTTTCCACTGGACTCTTCGGGGGCGTAGGTTCTTTAGACCTTAATGCCTTATTTCCATACATTAGTTTGTCCCCTGGGTGCATCTTACAATGCTGTTTAAACTGAGAGAGAAAACGATAGGATTTCCCACAGTAGTTACAAATAAAGGAGGCTTTGGCTCGTGACCTTAGACTTCTCTTTAGGGCTTGTGCTTGACTACTTGAAGATCCTTGATAACCCGATTTTCCTCTACGCAGTTTAAATATTAGTGCTTTTTTGATCTCTCGTTCTCGGACAATGTCAATCAATTTTCTTTGAAATTTTTCATCCAAAACTCCATGAGCGCTTGAAGAGGGAGATGGATTTTTTATGATTCCATGTTGTGTCTGACAATGTGTCCACACCTTAAAATTTGTGTGAAATCTTTTGTTACAAATATCACAAGCGTATGGTTTTTCAGGGTTATGGTACATGTTAACATGACGGTGAAGGCCAGCCGTTGATCGAAATATTTTAAGGCAATGTTTGCATTTAAATTTTCGATTTTGCCTGATTTCCTGTGTTTCACTGCTAACCTCTTTGCTGTCATCAGAGTCTGAGAAATCCTCATAAGGATGGGTGGGTCCTTCAAAGTTGGCATTGTACTCTGGAGAACTGCTTTGTTTCATCTTTACTCTTCTTGAAGGTAATGTTCTTCTTTCAGGATGAGACTTTCTTTTTGCTTGGGGTCGGCTTAAATTAGGGCTTGCCACAGATTTAGCATTTAAATCCTTATTCTTTACTTGTGAGGAATCTCCTACGGTAACCCTGATTATTTCTGATGGTTCAGAAGCAGGGCTTCTGGGCTCTGTTTTTATGTGTACATCCTTTTCAAATGCAGCTTCCAAAGAAGCAGACCGAGAGAATCTAAATGACTTTATACGGGCTGCATTCTCCTGTGCAATCTCTAGCAGGTCTGCTTCTCCTTTTATTGATGCTCTTTGGGTAGATGCCTCCTCTTTTAAGGAGTCTTTTACTGGATGTGCCCCCTGTAAAGGTTGCAAACCAACATTTTGTGAGTAAGTAGGGACTTGACTATCCATAGACAGAGATCTCCGGAGGAGACTTTTAACAAGTGGGCCACTACGATCAATACTTTGAGTTGCTGACTCAGCAGAAGGGACAACAAGTCCTAGTTTAGAGTAATAAAGAAGGTTTCTCTCTTTTTTCTGAACGGTTTCTTTTTCTGATCTCTGCAAGGAGTAAGGAGATTCCGTCGAACAAACAGAGGATGGTCCAGGTACCACTTTTTTCTTCAACATGTCAGAGCTTCCTCTTGTAAAAGGCCCGCTTGAAGTTGGTTGATCCTCTCCGGAATCTTCAGACTCTGTTTTTTGTGGCAAATTTACATTTCTTTTCAACCAACCCCTTGAACTTTGATTACTGGAGACATTGGGCAGTCCTCTCCAACTTCTTTCAGACAGTAGCAAACTGTTCATTGGGTCAGCTGGCCGTGAATGTTGCTTAGAAGTACCTGCCTTTCCTTGTGTAGACGATGGAGGCTTGCAAGACTGGCTTTTGTCAGGTTGCCCGTGACCAGTATCTCTACTTTGAGATTCGCTTCTGCTTTGACAAACAATAACACTTCTTTGTTGAGATCCATTTTCGTCTTCCTCTTGAAAAGCAGTCTTTTTATTTGGACATTGAGAAAAGGGTGCTTGTGGGGTTTTGGAAAGTATATTGGTTAAGAAGGTGATACCGAGACTATAACCCAATTCCTGTACAGCTGCAAGGCTGCCTTTCTCTGCAAACAATGAGGAGGAGTAAATGTAATTCAAGACATTATCAAATGCATCTGCTTCACAAAAGTCTAGCTGAAATACATTTTGTGACTCATTGCCTTTATCGGTGAACAGACTGTGAAAATATTCACTGCTTGCAGCTAGTACGTTTTTGTGAGCGCGAAATTTCTGGTCCCCTACGATCAAAATTACATCACAAAGTTGTCCTTTCATACGTTCCTCGTTTAAAGCACTTAAGAGAGAAATTGCATGTGCCGGATTTATGTAATGTAGAAGTCCTCCTTCCATTGTGATAATGTATCTATAAGAGAAATAATGAAAAATCATTAAAATCAAAGTATAAAAATAAATCAAGATAGCAAAAGCACATTTTTTTTTTCATTTTCTAAGCAACGTAATGCATAGAGCTTTTACATAGGGGGAAAAAGAAATAATCAGAAGTAAGTGCATTTTTTAAATAGTTTTTTTAAGGCACTAAAATAAAATAAAAACTCCCAACAAAAACAACCCACAATAACCCCCTCCCCATGAAATACACTGATGGCATTACTTAATTATTGTACAGTATCTCTTTTTCATGAAAATTTAACAATAAAAATAACAGACCCCTTTTTGGAGGTGACACTAAATTGTCAGAGAGTTACTTTCAAAGCCCAAACCCACGAGAAATGTAAATGTTCGCACAAACCGAACCAGTTTGTGAATAATCCTCAAACACTGTTCTGCACCGACCAAGCTTATACTTAAGGAATTGTAGTTATATATTTTTTTTCTTTGAACACACCGGACAGGAGTTAAAAATTAAGTTCTGTTTCAGAGAAGTTCTGATACTCATTTTAAATGGTTAAATGGCATTACTCAAGCTTTCCTACGGGGATATTTTTTGACACTGGACTCCGTGAGGACGCCCAGTGTCAAATAAGTGCGATTTACTCTGTGTAAATTTCAGAAGCGGCCTCTAGTGTTTGTCAGGGAGACAGCCACTAGAGGCTGCATTAACCCTGCAGTGTAAACATAGCAGTTTCTTTGAAACTGCTATGTTTTCAGCTGCAGGGTTAAAACTAGGGGGACCTGGCACCCAGACCACTTCATTGAGCTGAAGTGGTCTGGGTGCCTATATTGATCCTTTAAGCATGGAAAGCTAATAAGTACAGTTAAGTGCCAAATGGCACAAGATGGCTAGCTTCTAAACTTTTTATACAGCTACTAGAACCAGATAATTTGTTACAACATAAAGCAAGGACAGGATATTTTTCAGTTTTTTTCTGCTGCTTCTGTTAGCTCCACAGAGCGAACGGACATAGCAAGCGTGCTAAGCTAGAGCCCCTCCCATCTGAATGAGCTGTGTTACAGCTCACTGGGAAACATAGGAAAACAGTGTGCGCACTCACGGCTCCAGCACAGAGACTTCTCAATGTGACAGCTGTTGCAATTTAGCAGAGCTATTTTCCAAACAAATTTAAACAGAGCAACGCTACAATAGAAAACTACACATACAGCTCAATACAGTTGCAATTTAGCTGATAGTGGCTGAAGCAAATCTCAGAAACGTTATCAAAAATATTAAAGAGAATGAGCCATATAAAGCATGTAGTGAACAGAACCATGCCACTCTTAATAAGTAACAATATCAGATTTGTACAAAAGTCAACTGAGGGGATCCGTGTCACGGCGATGGAGGGAGTACACAGACCTAAGGGCCAATGACAGACCCCATGGAGCTTGACTAAAACTCCATCTTTTGTTAACCTTCCAGTTATACATAAAAAAAAAGTAGTCCATATTTTTCCCTATGTATAACTCTAAAAATAAGCATAATTTCAGGAGAAGAAAAATAAAATAAAATAAATAAATAAAAAAATGTAAAAAAGTCACAGATCTGCTTTAAACTCAATGGCAGAAAATTGTACACCAAAGTTGTTTCATTAAAGGGACACTCCGTTCACTATAACAACTTCAGGTAAAGTAACGTATCTTTTCCAAGCAAGTATTAAGAATGGGGAGTCACTGATTTACCGATGAGAGCATAGCCTGGCGGCACTCAGCGTTTCCTGAAACGGAGATTCAGAAGTCGCTTCTGAGAACTGGCGTTGGAGGCTCACGTTGGGGTTACTGTTTGAGAACAGTTTAACACCTTAAAGGAACACTATAGTCACCTAAATTACTTTAGCTAAATGAAGCAGTTTTAGTGTATAGATCATTCCCCTGCAATTTCACTGCTCAA